CCTCATGCATGCAAGGCAAGCGCTCTACCACTGAGCCACCTTCCCAGCCCCATGTATTAATTCTTTTATATATATCCTCCAAAACTAGAATTTCTGGATGATAATTGTATGTGTGTATGTGTGTATGTGTATGTGTGTGTGTGTACAGGGAATTAAACTCAGGTCTTGTGCTTGCTAAGCATACACTCTGCTACTCAGCCTTCTTGTTTTTATTCTTTCTTTTTTTTCTTTTTGCTTATGTGGTGCTGAGGAATCGAACCCAGGGCCTCATGTATGCAAAGCAAGCGCTCTACCACTGAGCCACCTTCCCAGCCCCTTGTTTTTATTCTTTGAAGAACCACCATACTGTTTTCCACAGTGGCTGTTCCTTATTTTTCCATTAACCATGCACAAGCATTCCAGTTTCTCCATGTCTTGGTCAACACTGTTGCTTCCTGTTTTTATGTTAGTAGCTATCCTGCTGAGTGTAAGGTGGTATCATTCTGTGTCTTATTTCCTTTTGATTTGCAGTATTAGGGATCAAGTACAGAGCTCTGCACACTCTAGGCCAGCACTCTACCTCTGAGTGACACTACTGGCCTATACTTCTTCATGATTATTTTGTTTACATTTTCCCTAATAATTAGTCCTGCTTCTGGGATTCTGATATATGTTACCATAAGGTTTCTTTTTCTTTTCTTTTTTTGTTTTGTTTTGCTTTTTGGCCAGTCATGGGGCCTGAACTCTGGGCCTGGGCACTGTCCCTCAGCTCTTCAGCTCAAGGCTAGTGCTCTATCACTCGAGCCATAGCACCACTTCTGGCTTTTGGAATCGAACCCAGCACGTCATGCATGCAAGGCAAGCACTCTACCACTGAGCCACCTTCCCAGCCCCACAAGTTTTCAAAGCAGTATGTTTTAGATTGATTTTTATCACCACTTAATCTTCAGCATCATGAGCATTTCAGAGAACTCAAAAGTCCTTGAGTTCCAGAGGTATCACTTGCCTTTCAAACCAAAAGAATGACTTTTGTTTTTTCTCCTACAGGGTTGGGTACCTCGCCGGATGTCTAGTTCGCACACTGCGTGAAAAACAACCAGAGCTGCAGATAACTGAGCGGGATACGCTCTGTGTTCAGATTGCGGGACTTTGCCATGACCTGGGTAAGCTGTGCAGAGAGATAGAGTCATTCTGTAAAACCACACCATATGTCGTCTGTCTTTGACACATGTAAAAATCAGACTAACAGCTGGGAATGTGACTTAGTGGTAGACTGCTTGCCTAGAATACATGAAGTCCAGGGTTCGATTCCTCAGTACCACATAAACAGAAAAGACCGGAAGTGGTGCTGTGGCTCAAGTGGTAGTGCTAACCTTGAGCGAAAGAAGCTCAGGGCCAGTGCCCAGGCCCTGAGTGCAAGCACCAGGATTGGCAAAAAGAAAAAAAACAGGCTAACAAAAGAAAGATGTCATGTTGTCATGTTTTAATTTATTAATGCCATATATATAGAATATGTCATTGCTTCTCCAAAGAGTGATTCATAAGCATAAAACATGGTGATTTTGTTTACTCTTCCAGTTAAGTTTCCATATTAAACATCTTTGCTTCAATACAAAAGGGCCATCTATAGTGAGTTTTTCTTAGGTGAGGATGATGTGAATATCTTTTTTTTTCTTTTGGTCGTGGGTCTTGAATTCTGGGCTTAGGCACTGTCCCTCAGCTTTCAGCTCACGGCTAGCGCTCTACCACTTGAGCTACAGCGCCACTTCCTAGAGGCATGTCTCAAGTGGTAGAAGAGTACCAGTCACAAACAAACAAATTCAGCAGATGTGGCGCCCTGGGTTCAAACCCCAGTAGCACAAAAAATAAAAGAAAAGAAATAGAAAGAAAAGAAAATAAAAAAACACATTTGTCCTATTTTGTAATTTTTATTATAGATTACTAATTACGATTGATACTGAATTTTAAAAAAGATTTTTAAAATAATTATTTTTCTTACCAGTTTTCCAACCTTTTTCTTGTTTTAAGGTCATGGTCCATTTTCTCATATGTTTGATGGAAGATTTATCCCGCTGGCTCGCCCAGAGGTGAAGTGGACGGTGGGTATTCATGCATTTGCTTAGTTGTAGAAAGACTATTTAAGGAAACCATTCACTGGAATTACCTGTTCTTTCTCATGAAGGTTTTTGATGTACTTTCATTCATGAGTATGTAAAACATGCACACATTTATTCCATCCTCACAGTCATCTACAAGTCCTTTTGTACACCTAAAAGAGCTTGAAGCTTTCAGAAGCTAACCTGTGTATCAAAAATGACAAAGCTGGGCTGTGCCTTGAGCAAAGAAGCTCAGAGACAGTGCTCAGGCCCTGAGTTCAAGCCCCAGGACTGGCAAAATAAAAATAAATAAATCACAAAGCTGTTCCAGGGTGGAGCCTGCACTGGACAAACAGCTTTCTTACTGTTTATGTTATCTTATGTTTTTTGCTGTTAATGTTATGTCAACATTCCTTCGCCTTTGTCACTACTGTAAAATAAAAAAGAGGGGTACTTTCATGAAGTAACTCATACCAATCACATTTTGTCATGTACATTAATATTAACCATATTATAATTAGGCATTTGCAGGTGGATGACTTATATTACTTTAACCAATTTTGAGAAGTAGGGGTGTCTGGCTTCCTAGTTTTTTTCTCCTTTTAAATTTAATTTATTATTAATTGATGATTAACTTAATTGATTAATCTTGGGAAGGCTGAGCACCAAATCTAGGTCTTATATATAATAGGCAAGCTCTCTACCATGGAGCAACCTGGCTTCCCAGTTTCTTCCACACTCTATTTCTGGAACTGGAAGTGGAAAGGATATGAATAAATATTGAAAGCTTCTTACCTATCAGCCTTTCTTTTTTCTCTCTTCCCTTTCTTTTTTTTCCCCCCCTTTTTGTGTGTGAGTTGGTACTGGGGCTTGAACTCAGGGCCTGGGTGCTGCCCTGAGCTCTTTTTGCTTATGGCTAGTGCTTACTACTTAAGCCACAGCTCTACTTACAGCTTTTGGTAGTTAATTGGAGATTAGTCTCAGGGACTTTCCTGCCCAGCCTGGCTTCAAACTATAATCCTCAGATCTCAGCCTCCTGAGTAGCTAGATTTATATACATGAGCTACCAGCACCTGGTTCCTCTCTTCTTTCTTGGGGTATAATCACAGAGTGAATTGTACAGCTGTTACATGAGTTTTGACAAGTGTATCCATCCAGTCAGGATATAGAACATTTTTATGCCTCAGGCCCTCCTCCCTCTGTTTTTGTTTTGTTTTGTTTTTGTGATGCCAAGGATGTAGCCTGGCACCTGCAGGTGCTAAGCCCATGCTGAACCTCCCCATGCTACTGAGCTCCACTCCTGGCCCTTCCTCTGTGCCCTTTTCTACCACCTCTCACTCCTCCCGCGTCACTCTTTTCTGATTTTTCTAAGAAGGAGTGAATGTTTTTCTCTTCTTAGATTTGCTATAAATAGAGTCAGACAGTGGTACTTATTGTGTCTTATTCTTTTACTTAGTATAGTAGTTTTGGTATTCGTTCATCACACACACGCACACACACGCACACGCGCGCGCGCGCGCGCGCGCGCGCACACACACACACACACACACACACACACACACACACACACACACACACAC